TTAAAGAGTCTCAGTTTCTTCTCATATCACCCAACATAACAACAGCTGTGTGGCTCTGACCAGGCAGACAGAATTCTTGGTCAGCACAACGCTGCAGGCATAGCAGCCTCTATCTCTGCAGTGTGTCACTAAAAAACAGTCTCACAATATTACCGACGGCTCAAGGCCAATCACAATACTTAAAAGCCATCTATAAAAATGGTGGTTCTCTTCCACTCAATATACACTCCTTCCCAGGACCTAAAATTTAGGGATTCATGACAGATCCTGTCTAAGGACCACATAACATCTGTGTTTGCAGAGTGAGCGGGTCCTGAGCTAGTTTCCCCTTCCTGTGGTACTAACTCACACCTTTCTGGGTGAAGGTGAACTTTAGGTACAGAGGAATGGATCCTCCTCCTCCCATCCTTTCTCTATATTGAAACAAACAAGCAAACAAACAAAAGCTGGATTAAAAAAAATGAAACAGGCCAGTATCTGTTCAATACCTCCTTAGTGATGAATGCATACACTTATTATCTCTGTAGCAACTGATCTCAGCAGACAACCTGAATATTTACTTGAAACCCCATTTTCACTTACATTAAGAGCATGATAATAAACTGACAAATATCACCAGATATTTACTTACAGGGTGATCCATAAATATGCATGGGGTACAAGTGAGCTCTGAAGACAAGCATAGATCACAGTAGGGTCAACTTCCCTAAGCACTAATACTCTAAGAAGGACAATAGGAGCAAAAAGCTCCTCTCTACTACTTTCCACAACATCGCACTTAAACTCCCTGAGTTCCCAGGAAACTGAAGTGCCCTGAACCTGCGAAATGTGCACAGGATTGCCCAGCTAACAATAACAGGGCCTGGGGCAGACTCCCAGGTCACAGTATGAACCATTTACTTGTCTGTCCCTGCAACATGCTGTAAAGTCCAAATGGTGACACAGATAACGATGTGATGATGTCCCCAGAGCCACTCTTTGAAGTGTTTACCATCATACTCAAGTGCCCGATTATGCTATATTTGGCTGTACAAGTGTGTAAGTTGCCCTGAGGTGAAAACAACCATCTTACTCAAGTTCCTGCCTCAACTTTGTCTCCAAAATATTTTCACTTTATAGCCTTTTCATTTTCTATATTACAAACAATGTTCTAGTACATTACTATAGTCACTACTTTAACATAGTTCACTTCCAACTCTGAAGATATTTATTGGAGTCTTGATCTATGCAGATTTGTTTTAAAATTCACTCAGTTAATCCTCAGCAGCAAAAATGGTAACAGTAGACAAGAATGAAAGGAGATTTGAGAGATACCAAAAAGGCATTAACTAGCAGACAAGATTCTCAGACCTCTGGCTTTCTCTATTGGACACAATTTCTCCTAATGGGACAAGGAAAAACTATGGGGAAGGATAAGAAGTTGGTTCTTTTTTTTAAAATTTTTTATTGTGAAAATACCATACAGAGGGGTTACAATTACATGGGCAAGGTAATGAGTACATTTCTTATCAAGCATTGTTATCTCCTC